GAATACGTGGCAGGAATTGCTGTGCTGCTACAGCCACCTGTTTCCACTCTCTCTAGAAGAGCTGGAGTTGCAGGCCCTCTCTAACACCCAGGAGCTCCTTGATTTCCCTTTGAGCATCGCCTTCTTGCAAAAGCATGTCTAGAAGCCACAATGTAGCTCATAAGGCATTTGGGACCCTTTGGAACGAAAGCTCGGGTAGTCCTCATTATCACTGACAATACCCTTTCTGGTGATCTAAACCTGAGGGGCTTAGAGACTCAGAACTCATCTTTAAGCTCTTTCTTACTGCTTCACTACCTGTGTTTTATTGGGTACCTTCCCAGACTTACTATATCATTTATGTGTTACATAGATCTATGTCAATAAAGTTTTATGCTATTCCACACCCATTTTTCCCCCTGCATATATATTTCACCTGACAGAAAATGGTTAAAAAATGTTTCTAAAATACAGTTCCTCTCCTCTAAGAGAGCATACTGCCCTATATTTGGTAGACCTCAGATATACTGTATTTTGTGAAGTATTTCTTTATGACGAAAAATAAGCTTGCCACCAGGTATATTAACTTTTGCTAATGCTGCTAAATGCTATTCATCCAACATTATTCACACAGGACAGCTTAATCACAAATTAAATCCATCCTTTAATTATATATGAGTATAATAATTTTTTTCCAATAATTAACATTTCTATATGCTGAGTTTGCAAGTTTCAGCAATCATAGCCATCCTCAGGAGAAAAAGCAAAGATAATTGGTGGTATGTTAACTGCCTGAATTGCTTCTTTCTTGAGTGTAATGAGTGATATTTACTAATCACTCAATTCTATAAATGATTTTTTGTTTCCTTTTTCTTGTGTCTTGATAATGACAGAGGCTTCTGTCACAGGATGCTTCAGGGCGGGACTGGGTTCAGCTGTTACTGGAAGAAAGCAACAATCTCTGCCTGGGCTTCGTATTCAGTTTATCCAACCAGCAGAGAAGAGGTTTTTCTCTACTTTTTTCTATTGTTGTGTTATTATTGTAGATTAATCTGACTGTCACATATATTTAGAGTCACCTAATGTTTTTAAGTATAAAACCCTCTTATTCTACATTAAAAAAGTTATCACTACAGAATTCAATTATTCAAGCTAAAAATTTTCATATTAGTTCTTTGCCTCAGGCTGGCTTTTTTAAAGCTTTAACTAAAACAGCCTTTTTAGAGAAGATTACTGCAAAGTAGACAACTATCAAATTTATAATGACTGTCCTACCAATTTTTTGAAAGAGCCTTGAAGCACTAACAAGTGACTTCTGAAACATCTCCTTATTCCCTGTCAAAAAAATCCATCTTTTAAAGCAGAATCACAGGATTTTCAGATTCTTAGCACATACTTCATAGAGATGTTACAAGCTTTCTGTTCTGATCATAATCCTATCCTTCAGTACTCCTTAAGTGCCAACATGCTCCTTGATCTACAAGGAAAGTTTTCTGTAAGATCTGTGGGTCAGGCAACAGCAGCAAAACCTTCAGTCATATCCTTCAGTCAAAAGCAGAAGTACTGGGCTGTGTTGTTCTGGCTGCCAGAACAGGCCATAAGATTTTGTCCCAGCTCTTACTGGTGTGTGTTAGTATTTCTTAACACTTTTTAGCCCTTATTACTGAATAAAGCCTCTTTATGTAGCCTAAGAATCACATCAGACTGACTTCCGCAGAATGACTTCCACACCATTTTACACACACAGCAACAAGGAGCTGCAAAGTCAGATAACAGGACACACTTTGGTGTGGCAGACAGATGTTTTGCCATGTATCCACACTGCTTTTCAAAATGCATGTGTTGACTCTATAAATTTGGCTAAACTTTAAGTTTCCTTCTTCCATCCAACAGCAGCAAAACCTTCAGTCATATCCTTCAGTCAAAAGCAGAAGTACTGGGCTGTGTTGTTCTGGCTGCCAGAACAGGCCATAAGATTTTGTCCCAGCTCTTACTGGTGTGTGTTAGTATTTCTTAACACTTTTTAGCCCTTATTACTGAATAAAGCCTCTTTATGTAGCCTAAGAATCACATCAGACTGACTTCCGCAGAATGACTTCCACACCATTTTACACACACAGCAACAAGGAGCTGCAAAGTCAGATAACAGGACACACTTTGGTCTTTGGTGTGGCAGACAGATGTTGTATCCACACTGCTTTTCAAAATGCATGTGTTGACTCTATAAATTTGGCTAAACTTTAAGTTTCCTTCTTCCATCCAAAGAGAATCTCATCAAGAGCAATGAAGGTTAGCTGTGATCCTTTAGCCTCAAAATCTATGTCAATGTCTTAATTAGCTGAGGTGTTTCAGAGGTGAAGATTGATGATCACAGCAGGGTTTGGGTACAGCTGCTTTTTAATTTGCCTTTTTCAAGGAAGTATCTGCAATAGTTTTACTGGTTATCATACAGGTGCTCTCCAGTTAATTTCTGCATCCTATTCCACCATCTTCATTTGCCACACAAAATGTATACCACTGTAATTAAGGCTTGTTGTAAAATGTAAACAGGGTAAACTTTAACAGTGGCATCTCTTCTCGGTGTTTTGAATCCTAGCTTATGTGACTTAACACTCAAATTCCTCTCAATCAAATTGATCAGTTGCATTATCCATATTTAAAAGATCTAGTTTTGCTTCCATAAAAAGTTATCCTAATTCCTATCCCGTTGAATTATTAAAGTTTTCACTGCACTGAATGTGAATACATATTTTTCAATGGCAAAATATGGGATTATTGCATTAAAACTGAATACATCTGGTAAGACACTATAAGAAGAGAAAAAGGGTAAGGCATTGCTACTTATTGGTCATATCCTACATATATGCAAGCATATCACTATTTTGCACAGTCCTTGCTGCTCATATCCATTTCCACAAACTGTGAATTACAAACCCCAAAATGTCTATGGAAGGAATTTTTCCATCAGTCATGCAATCAGTGGCTTCCTTCGGTTCCCCCCTCATGCCCACATGCTCAAGGGTGAACTCCTGATCACAGCCGTGAATGTGGTGCCAGCTGTATGCCTGCCATTCCTGACACATCAGTCAGAGCCAGGCAGGCAGGCATCCACCGAGTCTGACTTAGCATGCCCTTTGCATACTTGCTTAACATTTTAAGCTCCAATTAGTCACAATTTATGCCCAGTATCACCCTATTAATTCACACTAATACCTGAGATGACCTTTCTGACCAGCCAAATCTTTCAAATTAGCAAGCAGGAACAAGCAAGAAAAGTACAATGGTTCTGAACAACAATATGCAAATGTCATTGGCAAATGTCATTTAAGTTTGAATAATTAAATTTGTCTTGGTCAGAAATCTGCAAAAGTTGCCATGTTTTCAAAACATACAAAATTTCTCCACGGTGTGAACTTCAGAGTGATTCCCTACTCTAGAAACTTTCTTAAGAACAGTGAAACCTGGTGGCTTTGACTTAACAGATTCACAGGTTGATTTGTATCATATTGTGAAAAGGCCTATTTGTAGCAGCATTTCAGTAATACTGTGTGCAGTGTGAGGATAAGTATTTCATATTTATGTTTAAGTTTTCATATTTATGTTAAAATTTAATTTTTATGTTTGTTTAAAATGTTTAAATTCTAAAAAATGGTTTAAAATTTCATATTTATGTTTAAATTTTATTTATATTTAACAACTCCATCCACCTTCCCTGTCCAAAAGCAAAAATATCTAGAAATATTTGAATATTTCAATTGCAAGCCAATGGTAGGCAATTACAGTGGCACGTAGTAAAATGTCTTCTAATGATAAGTAAATTGAAGACAGATACTAAATACGTCTTCATATTTTCAAAGTGTAAAATCAGTTCTGCTTAACTGCAGATCACATCTAACAGCCACTTTTAATGCCTTAGTAGAAAATGAGAAGTGGAAGAAACAGAAAAAAGTTTCCCTGCAACTGCATAAACTGCCTATTATTATTATCTGGTTTTTTTAATTAGCATTTGAGTATAAAATTAGCATGAAATCTAATCTTTTCAAACACCCGTAATGGCTCTCAGCTGAGCACATGCCTAACTAACCATATGCACAGCTTGATAAATGCTTTAATTGGTTTCCTAAATCAAGTTTAGGTGAACTCCAGTCTGTACATAGTTCAAACTATGACACTGACTGGTTCCATTATTTTAATGAAAATGTCCCAGGTCATTCTGTACTTCACCTTTTAGATACTACTTTAAAAAAAAAAAAATCAAAGAGTACAGTTATAAAAAGTCATGGTGAGGAACACAAAAGCCCACGGAAAGTAGGTAGTTTATGATTGTAGTATCTGGGTCAAATAACAACAAAGAATAGCAAGAATTGCCTAAGACACATATGTGATGATGTGAAAATAATTGTGATTATAACAATTGTATGTTTATACAGCAGAAGTTTTATTCTTGTGCATTAGTACAATAAAGGCTTCACTTCTTTATCTCTGGCTTTGAAGAGATGGGGGAAGATGAATAAACTGTCAGTTTGAATTAATGTTTCGTCATAAATATTTATAGCCCACAGAAAACAATCGTATGACTCTTTAGGATTGAGCTAATTAGTTATAAATCACATTCTAAATGTATTAACATAATTCTTTTACAAAAGCTCTGGCTGGCTTTCAGTAAATAATAGAAAAATACTTGGGTTGTAATAAACGCAACAGAAGAAACATTTCTAAACCCAGTGAGTGACTATGAGAGGTTTCTTTCCGCTCATTCCACTTACTGGGTCTACCCTCAAGGCTATTTCTTTGTAAGCCTTGAAATATGATGCTTCTTTTGTTTCAAGTTTAAAAATTAAAACTATAAAAAAGTATAAATTGTTACTAATAGAAAACCATGACCTAACATGCCTACATCACTTAGAAGGACATGCATGCAGTGAAGGCATTGATAGATTTGGTGGGAGTTTCCAAATCCCAGAGTGTTTAGTCTCTTTTTTTTAACCAAAGAATACTTATAATAAAACAAAAGACAATCATTTGTAGGTTGCAAGTCCCAGATCTTGTTTATTTATAAAGCAATAAATATTAGAAGCACAAATAAATTGCACGGGTGTGTAAACAAACTGTACAATGACTGAAGAGTTCAGGAAGGGTTGCCAGAAGACTCCAAGAAGCATGTTGTCGTCATCCTGAGTGGGAAGTAAATTGAGGGAAAAAGTGCTTAGAAGCACTTGCGGTGGACAATGGATGGACCAGCTTCATCATACTCCTGTTTACTGATCCACATTTGCTGGAAGGTGGACAGAGATGCTAGAATGGAGCCACCAATCCAGACAGAGTACTTGCGCTCAGGTGGGGCAATGATCTAGGATAAAGAAAAACAGTTACCTTTCTGAACAACCAACCCACGTAACCAATGTAACAAACCACTAGATATTTCCTTAAGTAAATAAAGAACTTTTCTATAGCAACAGTATTGATCTTCAGCAGCTGGTACAATACATGTAATATTCCTTAAGAAAATCTATAACCATATTTTCCTCTTTTCTAACACTTGCTTCTAATCAATATAATTATGCTGATTAAACGGAATTTCTTCTCATTTGTCCATCAGCTGTTGATCTCACTTTTGAGTTGTTCCTATATCCCAATTCAATGATGTGGACATTTTCCCCATCCTTACCCACATTTTATAGTACAGAGTCAAATTCCTCACCTTGATCTTCATAGTGCTAGGAGCAAGTGCAGTGATTTCTTTCTGCATGCGATCAGCAATGCCAGGGTACATTGTCGTTCCACCTGAGAGGACGTTGTTAGCATACAGGTCCTTACGAATATCAATATCACACTTCATGATACTGTTGTAAGTAGTTTCGTGAATACCAGCAGATTCCATACCTTGAGAAGAAATAAGACAGTAGATCAGTAAATTATACAAGAGGTCTTTGGGAAAAGAACTCTCGGCATATCTCCTCATCATTAATATGAACTTCTATGACATTTTTGTTGTAAAATTACTTATTGATTATTAAATGTTATAGAAAAACATAAAAAAAATAGAATTACAGAAGTAGCTAAGAAAACAAAATTTATTTGTTAGAATGGGTAGGAATTGTAATGCATGTGCGAAGGAAAGACTCAAAATATACAGTAAGAGAAGAAGTAGACACACAAGGTAAACTCATTTACTGTATGACAATGGGAGAAAGTTATATAGAACAGAAAACAAGTATCAGGTTACATCAGAGTCTCACAAAAAGCATTAGTTGCATATAGAAAAGACAGCAATAAAGACAATGAAAGCAGCTGAATTAGAACTAAAGAAGACAATAGTAACTTCATTTCTTTTTCAGCCTACTCAAAATACAGTCTACGCCATTTATAAACATCAAGGCAAGACATAACCAAGACATGGACCAAGATATTAGTACATGGTGGTAAGGAAAAAGAAACCAGAAGCAAATGTTTGTAGGTTGCATTCCAATTTATTAATTTTAACAGGTGCTTCCTGAAAGGGCTGACACTAGATCCACAGTAAGACGTCAGCTGATGAACAACTGCATTTATTACTCAGGACGTAGAGTATAAGCATTTGCTATATCCGTCAGCTGCACTCACAAACAGCAAAGCTTACCATCTTGACCATGGCAATGTTAGTTACAGTGCATATAAATATACACGCACCTTCATTCCACTTTCTTCCCCTCCCAGACACTTTACTTCTTCATGGAGTCAGATACTGTTTTAAGTGTAAGGCTTACAAATACAGCACTGGAAGCTATTCTTGCCATCAGTGACACAGAATCATATAATATCTCAAGTTGGAAGGGACCCATGAGGATCATCAAGTCCAACTCCCTAATGATGATATTCTTACTGTACATTTTACCACTAAAAAATTGTGACCCTAAAACCTGATCTAAAACTTGCAACAAGAGCCCAGAGCTCAGCTAATTACCAGTTGAGCTCACATCAAGCATCGCTTACAGGGACCAGAGGATCTAACTTATTATTTATTTATGTTTCATTTCCTGCCAAATTTAGATAAGCAGGAAGAGGAGTGGGACATCTTCAAGATCTTCTGATTCATTCATACCTCCTACAGAAAGGAGAATTTCCCCGGAACACTTACCAATAAAGGATGGCTGGAATAAGGTTTCAGGGCAGCGGAAACGTTCGTTACCAATTGTGATCACTTGACCATCAGGCAATTCATAGCTCTTTTCCAGAGAGGAGGAAGAGGCAGCAGTGGCCATTTCATTCTCAAAGTCCAGTGCAACATAGCACAATTTCTCTTTGATATCACGAACAATCTCACGTTCAGCTGCAGATATATGGGAATCAAATCAAGGTTTGGAGAAGCAAAATACTAGAGGAAAAAGATGGGCCAAGAGAGACATGAGGATTTTCACAAGAGGGCAAAGCTGAAGGACTGACCTGTTGTCACAAAGGAATAGCCACGCTCCGTGAGGATCTTCATGAGGTAGTCAGTCAGATCCCTGCCAGCCAGATCCAGACGCATGATAGCATGAGGCAAAGCATAACCTTCATAAATTGGTACATTGTGGGTGACGCCATCGCCAGAGTCAAGAACAATGCCTGGGAGAGAAATGTCAGAGAGCAGTTGGAATCACCTAGCAAATTTACAGCCCTTAGGCACAGCGAGCAGCAACAAACACAATAAAATATAGGGTTTCTCAGGCACTATATAGTAGCATCGTTCTATTTTAGCCACAAAGATCTTGCCCATTCCTTCTGCCTTTGCTTGCCTGGACATTCCTGTTTGGTGTGAACTTTCCCATAAAACAGTTGTTCCATACATATTTTAAGCTAATCCAAACAAACAGCCTTCCACTGCTACTACACTGAGCAGTAAGTATATTTGTAATAGTGATTGTCTTGGTCCAATAATGGGCATCTTTTGGGCCCAGTTTAAACCCTTAAACTGGTGTAATACTTGTGTAACTGCAGTACCTCCACAGGAATGTCTCCTTGTTTGCATCATGACAAGCGGCAGGAGAGTCAGTTCCACAGTGCCTCTCTGAAAGCAACGCAGACAGGTCCACGTTGTTCTGTCCGCAGACTGTTTTGTGCTGGCTTTTCTGCTACTGTTATCATCAATCGCTATAAACTATAGTTTATATAGTTTATACCTAGTTTTCTGTAAATTTGAATGAGTTATGGGTTTTTTTCCCTATTTGGAGTGAGAAGGAAGGAGGGTTCCGGAAAGGAAAAATCTAAATAGTGTTTATTTTTTTATTTTACCTGTTGTACGACCAGAGGCATACAGGGACAGGACAGCCTGGATCGCCACATACATAGCAGGTACGTTGAAGGTCTCAAACATTATCTGGGTCATCTTCTCACGATTAGCTTTAGGGTTCAAGGGGGCTTCTGTGAGCAAGGTAGGGTGTTCCTCAGGGGCTACACGGAGTTCATTGTAGAAAGTGTGGTGCCAGATCTTTTCCATATCATCCCAGTTGGTGATGATGCCATGTTCAATGGGGTATTTCAAAGTAAGGATACCTCTTTTGCTCTGAGCTTCATCACCCACATAGGAATCTTTTTGACCCATACCAACCATAACACCCTAAGAGAAGAAAAACACAGAAAAGCATTATTTGAGGAAGACAACATCACAGAGCCCAATTATGTCACAGACAACTGCGATATTTTCAAGAAAGGTACAAGCAGTCACACCACTAGAAGGTTGTTTAGGAAAGGAAATGAGCATTATTAAAATATTAAGTCAACAGAATTTGAAGTTTTCTCATAAAATCCTTTTTCCTTTAATCAGATGAAAGGATTTTTTCCCCTTTTTCAATGCACTGATTATTTGCAATTACTTCTTTCTGGTCCTAAAGTTTGACTGAAAGTAAACTGCACAATATCACGAGCAGGAAAAGATACAGAGAGACATACAAAGAGAGTTTATAAACAAGAAGATACAGAGGAAAATGAGCCTTCTAGTGAAGGAAGATACTCTGTATTACTATGGAGCCTCAGCGGTAATTTATTCACGACAACAAAATACAAATTGCAAATGTTTTAGTTAAAAAAAAAAGCACTACAAACTTTTTACCAAGGAAATTGCGGGAGAAAAAGTACTGTATTTTCTCTATGCTGATTTAACTGTGACAAAAGAGGAGGAGAATGAAATGGGAACAGAGAAAAGGAGGCTTAGAGAGCAGTGAAAAGGTAAGATCAGCGACAGACAAAAGAAGTAGAGGAAACTGAAAGAAGGTGTTTGGTATGTGACACGTTGGACAGGATGGGTGGGAAGGGCCTTAAACAAACTGCACCGTGAGCAAATTCAGCCAGCGGAGATGTCTTTGAACTAGCACCAGCAGCAGGTCTGGCCTACGGGATGGAGTGGGCAGCAGCTTTGTAGGAAGCTGGGTTTGGGCCGCCGCAAGAAGTGAGCAGAGCGAAGGGCAGGGTGTTTGGGGCAGGACAGAAGAACTAAAGAGGGAAGGGGCGAGTGGACGCGACTCCTGGAGAGAGCAGGAAGGCT